ATAGCGGTGTTGGGGTCGAATTCTCCAGCGTAGCCGTAAATCCATACGACGGTTCAGCATTCGATGTCTGGAAGTATGGTCCTGGTTACATTAATTACTAATAGATATGAAAACAATCCCATAACACCGCTTGCCTCACAGGCTCAGTAATACAGTCAATCCAAAAAATTTTGTCATCGACCAATTCAAGCATACGCGACTGGACCGAAAGGAACTCTGGGTAGTAATCATTGAAGCCAAGTTGACTCCATAATTTTATCTGACTAGTTATGCCTGGTTTACAGCACGAACCTTCGTAGGTGAGCGGGAAGTGTTGAAGGAGACGTTTTTTTAATGCCTTCAAATTTTCGGAATTGTGAACTGAATCATAACTACATTGTTTTTCTTTTCCTAAACCCGAAGACATGCATTTGATGGATTGTTTCTCGCCATTACTGTCTTATTACTAGCGGGAACAATTAATTGAAAACGAATATTTAACCGCTTCAGTGATTTTTACCCATATTCCTTTCGGTCCACCGGTCGGTCGACGACAATGTTTTTTGAATTGACTGTATATTGAACAGCCATTTGCCACAAATCTACAGCTAATTGAAAAAAATTTGCATGCATGAAAATAAATAAAAAAAGAGAATAGCAAAAAGGAATTGATTGTTTTTAAACAAAAGAGGTGTACCAATCTTTACTGTTTTAAAGTTATTGACTGACATTTTTGATATTACCTTATTAGTATAATTTTAGACTTGAATATAGAGTTTCTCGAGCTGTGATTGGTCGAGCGACCGGTGATTCTGAGACGATAATCACCGCTGGAGCGGTGGTTATGAGGTTTTCCAAATTTTTTCAGATCGCAAGTAATGCTATCCCGTTTTTTTTATCCTCGATTTCGACTTTTCTCTAACATTCAACTCGAAAATTATACTAAAACAATTATTCCCCTCAGACTCAGTGATTATGGTGATATTTACCTCGAAGACTCGCGGCTCGGTAAACATTCCACCGATAACCACTTCGCCTTCGGCAAATAATTGTTAATTATTATATATACTTGTATCAAGTACTTTTCGTTCGTTCGTTCGTTCGTTTGTTTGTTTGTTTGTTTGTTGTTGTTTTTTCTATTGATATAGTTTCTTATGGGTTTAGGAATACTGTTAGCTAGATGCGCTATCTCGAAAAGTACTTGATACAAGTAAGAAGTAAAAGGAGCCCTTCCGATCCCTTGTCCCTCAAGAATTTTCACGCATCTTTTAACTATTTTTGTAGGGATGAGGAGAATGAACGCTTCAAGTTACATAAAAACCTTATATTTGCATATTTTATGCGAATATTATTCTTTTTTGTGGACCATTATGCTGGATTATCTAAGACCATTGGCTTAAAGGTAATGGCGTGTTGAATGACAATTATATACGCCGTGTACTATAGATATTCATGCACTTTCTCTCCCAATAAATCCTTGAGGGGGGTGGG